AAAAGAACATGTTACCAGGAGAGACCAAGCCCCGGAAAGGACCTCCAGCTTGGTAAAATAGAGTTCGTCAACAAGATGAACTGACACCGCAGGTGCCACCACGGGTTCAAACATGAGAACTGTGAGGGCGGCACGGCAGGTACAACACTCTGTTGTACACAGGGTTACGACAAGTCAGACACAAGTGAGCAGTACCGAGCAACAGACACTAAAAAGAAACTAATAAATACATTCTTTAGACCCAAAGTAACTGCATCACTTGTTGGCTTTACTGAAAGGTCCTAGTTATCCTTCGGCAACAAGAGACATATGGAAAAACACCTTGCCATCAAGTATAGTCAATAACTGTTATCAGACAGTTAAGAGTAAGGTGACCAGATTTTAACATTGGTAAAGCGGGACACCATTGATAAAACTCATATCCTGGCGAAATTGCCACATGGCAGCCGAAAACCGTATACCCTAGCTTGTCGTGCATTCTTTCAAAAAATTGAGACTTTTTTGAAACGGCGCGGGATGTGGGTAAAATTGTTAAAAATCTGGACTGTCCCGCCACAAGCGGGACGTCTGGTCACCTTAGTTAAGAGGGGTTAGAAAGATGGAAAGCAGTAATTCATGGACTTGAGCTACTATTACTATCTTAGAGGTTGAAGCAAACAAGATTCTTTAAAAAGTGTAACTAAATACAGATACTTTCCCACTTGGCAAAATCCCGTGGCACAGACAAGAGTGAGCCAACAGAAAATTAGATTTAGAGCCATAGCTACCCCAAAGATAGACTGTAAGGCATGCAGTATGTATATATACATTTCCTCCACTAAATCTGAGTGCTATAAAGCCAGGGGCAATATGGGCTTCACAGCCAAGTTGCTAGTATTTAGATCCAAGCCTAGCAATGAATAGGCTCCTTGTAAACAGGTATTTCCTGAATAAACAAATAAGGTCTACAGCAGCCTCAATCATTAATAATCTCATCAACTCTGTTGTGTACCTAGATACAGGTACCCGGTCCACATTTTATGGAGAAAACCTTTTCCAAAGAAATTCTAGACAGAGGTAGCCATCAAATCAATTCCAACTCCGAGCGACTTTCCTTGGGTTTCCATGGCTGTGCATATTTCCCAAAGCTGGGAACTCATCTCTCTTCCAGGAGCAATTGGTGGACCAGCAGGCTTTGCAGTTCGTAGCCCAAGGCTTGCAGAACTCACTACCAGTTCGTCCATTTGGGCACATAGCAACAGGATGTGGCCCTGTGGGTCTCTGAACTCTTCACAGGTGTAGAAAATCACACCTTTCTCCTGAGGGACACCGCTGACCCTGCAGTTTGCAGCCTAACAGCTAACCACTACACCAGCAGGGCTCTTGTAGTATAGTGTAACTCACTGCCATCGAGTCGATGCCAACTCATAGCAATCCTAAAGACAGGGTAGAAACGCCCCTTGAGTTTTTGAGCCTGTCACTGTTTACTGGAGTTTAAAGCTCCGCCTTTCTCCTGCTGAGCCACTGATGGTTTTGAACTGCCAACCTTTCGGATCAAAGCCCATGATGCCAACAGAACTCGCTAGTATAGTACACGTTGCTAACTCAACAACAAACTCAGTGCCATCCAGTCAATGCTGACTCGGCAATGTCCTGTGAGTTTCGGAAACTGTGACTGTTTACGGGAGCAGAAAACCCAGTCTTTCTCCTGAAGAGCGGTGCCTGGGTTCATACTATGGGCCATGCAGATGGCAGCCCAACACGTGACTGATTAGGACACCAGGACTCTTCCCTAATAAAGCATAGGAGTGAGCCCACTAAGCAACCCAGCAAAATGCTTAACTTGGTTTTGTCTCCACTGCATATCGATGAGAATACCAATAGTACCTACTCCCAGAGTTCCTTCCTGGGAGAAGAGAACGCAATTTCAGGTGAAGGCTGCTTTGCACACAAATGTTTAACTACGGTTACACTCAGCATCAAAAGTTCCTGGGAGATGTGAACAGTTTACTCTCAGCTACCAACCAGAAGGATCAAATTCACCCCAGGGTCCTGGGAAGACAGACTCAGTGATCGGCTTCTGTTGTGATCCCAGCCCAGGAAATCCTGTGGAAGGCAGTCCTGCCCTGAAGGGCACGGGAAGGTCATGAGTAAGAACTGCCTCCGTGGTAATGGATTGGGTTGGCTTCCCTGTCCTCAAGTCGAGTAAACAGGTGTCCTTTCCCCTGCCCTCAGTACCACATGTACACGGTGCTTTAAAAAGCTCAGGGAACCCAAGAGGCAAGAGAATTTTGGGAATGATGAGGGCAACAAATGTATAGATGTGCTTTACACAATTGATCTATGTATTGTGATGAATTGTATGAGCCCCAAAAAAATGATTAATTAAAAAAAAAAAAAAAAAAAGCTCAGGGAAACACGGAATTCAAAGATAATGGAATTTATCTACAAACTTTTTGAAGCCCCACCAAAATATTTCTTTAAGCTCATAAGCACCTTCCCTAAAACACAAACTGCAGAATGATTATTAAAAAGAACACTTCACTACACAAAAAGGAAAATTAAAGCACATTTCCCCCCATATCAAATGAGCAAAGACTTCAGAATAACATCATAAGAGCTGTGAGGTGAAAGACAGGAATTCTCCTCTGCAATATGGCTATTACAGTGTTTCTGAAAACATTGTGGCAGTATGTATCAAGAGCCTTAAAATAATTTTGTCATTTCCAGTCTTACAGATCTTTAGTGGAGTGACTTTCATAGTATCAGAAGAAAAGAAACACCCTTAATATCCATCAAGATGAGTTAAGTAATTCATAGTATATCCATAAAAGTAGAGCAGGGGCAGCTATAAAAAGATTTCTGAAGACAGGAGGGAAAATCAGGATGTACGAGTATGTATAAAAGCAATTCCATTTTTTAAAAAAGAAAGAATAAAAATATAGAAAAAAGACAATGGGAAGTTAATTTTAGTTAAAATTAACTAAAGTAAGTTAATAGTGAACTTCTAGGCTGTGGGACTATAAACGATTTTTATTTTTCTCCACAGCTTCCTATATTACTTAAGGCAGCGGTTCTCAACCTGTGGGTCGCGATCCCTTTGGGGGTTGAACGACCCTTTCACAGGAGTTGCCTAAGACCATCGGAAAACACATAAATATTTTACAATATATAATTACATATGTTTTGTGATTAATCACTGTGCTTTATGTTTAATTATATTCAATTTGTAACAATGAAAATATATCCTGCATTTCAGATATTTACATGACGATTCATAACAGTAGCAAAGTTACAGTTATGAAGTAGTATTGAAAACAATTTTATGAATGGGGGTCACCACAACATGAGGACCTGTACCAAAGGGTTGCGGCATTAGGAAAGTTGAGAACCACTGACTTAAGGTGTTCAAAGGAGCTCAGGTGGCATAGTGAATGGGCTGCTAGCTACAAGGTCAGCAGTTCAAACCCACCAGCCTCTCCTTTGGGAGGAAGATGAGGCTTTCTGTTCCTGTAAAGATTTATAGCCTTGTAAACCCAAAGGGGCAGTCTACTCTACCTTTCAGAGTCATTGGGAGTCAGAATTGACCTAGGGACGGTGAGTACAAGTATTATTTTTTTAAGCCAAAAAAAAAAACACCTGTAAAGGCTTATTTTGTGAAAATAAAGTTGATACTGAACAGAGAGAACTAAACCATATTACTCTCTCCTGGTTCGCTCCATGAATAATAATGCCACTAATAATAGTGTCATGATCAGCAAATATCTATCAATCCGAAATCAACAAACCACAGGGCTGTGAAATAAATTCATGACCTTAAACGAGACTGTTCCCTACCCAAATCACATGCTTTTGCTCTGAAAGTCTGGTTTGCCAATACTGTCTGAAGGCTTTCTCTGACACCAGTGAAGCCTGGATAGGTCTTGAGTACCATTCATTTTCTTGATATAAAAGGTAGACTGAGATTCTAAGAGAACTTCCTAAGGTAGTCTAGACACTGCCTTGAAACTCCAAGTTGTGAAAATTCTTGACAGTTATCACTGTCAGTCCATTCTTTCCCATTTTCTCCTTTGTGATAAAAGTTAAGAACACCTTTGAAATCAAATAGCATTTCTGTAGAGCGCCACACAGCAAGAACCCTTAAAATACATAACCAGCCATATCCTTTCCACATGTACACATCAATGTCAAGATACATGGTTTAATGCACTTCTGAGCAAAGTAAGATTCGTGAAATATACAAGACCAACTCACTCCTCTAAAAAGGCTACAAAATAAGTAATGTCAGTGTTATTTATTTCTTGACTTGAGTGTTTACTGGCCTTCGATGATTATCTTAATGTCCTACAGGGAGACTAGGAATAATTCTCATATTTTAAATGTTTAGACAACAGTCTTCTGAGGGCTTCATTATTTTAGTAAGTTTCCTGTATCAAACTGGTATGGAAATGTGGTTGAGAATAAATATCAATCAAAATGTGGACTACTTATTATACCAGTTGTGGCAATTCTATATTAGTAATGCTAAATCTGACACAGCATCAACATTTGCCTACAAAGTATGGTCACATGATTACATAGCTAAGTGTGATGACAGGATATAATTAGAATCTTAATCTGAAAAAGCATAGTAATTTCTAAACACGAATATAGGTTGTGACTGTCAAATAATATGTATGCAAATAATCTGAAACATTAAAATACATGAATTTAAAATACTATAATTATTAGTATTATTAGTTTTCCCAGTATCCTTACAAGGCAAAATAAACAAATAAGTAACCAGGTTATGAATTTTAGTGAACTTTTAATAAAATGGAAATATGCAAAATATAGGGGATAATATAAACCTCAAGGAGAATATTAACATTCATATTCAAATGACATATTCGTATTTATTACAATCACATTCTTTTTAGTACAACCCTTTGTTAAATGTGAATACTCCACTTATATTGACTCCCAGAAACAACTATTTCATCACTACAACAAAAAATATTTAAAGTAATAATAATACTTACTCACAATACCAAACTGTCCCCAGGACAGAAGTATAGCCAAAATTGGGAAAATAATGATGAGAATATTTTCTTTTGGAGAAAACCAGGAAACTAGGGGAAAAGAAAACAAAAATCACAATTAGGACTTATTATAATCATTTTTATATCATTTTATTAGGGGCTCATGCAACCCTTATCACAACCCATACATACATCAATTGTGTAAAGCGCATTTGTACATTCATTGCCCTCATCATTCTCAAGACATTTGCTCTCCACCTAAGGCCCTGGCATCAGCTCCTCATTTTCTATTATAAATCATTTGACAACCTATTTATGATATTGTATAAGGAACCCTGCTGGGACAATGTTCCCGCACTCACCTACTGACAGAGATATCAGAGTTGGAACACAGCCTCTGCCCTGGGGAGAAAAGACCTGGTGAATTCTTGCGAAGACTGACAGCCTGGGAAACCCATGACGCAGTACTACTCTTACCTATGGGGCTGTTATGAACTGGAACCAATTTGATGGCATAGGATAATAAACTAATCTTTATTGCAGAGAGAGAAAACAGCAATGATCAAAGCCATGGTCTCATACTAAACACACACCCACTACCATTAAGTTGATTCTGATTCACAGAGACCCTATGTAGGGGTTCTGAGGCTATAAATCTTTATGGGAACAAAAAGCCTTATCTTTCTCCCACAGAGCATTTGGTGGATTTGAACTGCTGACCTGGTGATTAGTAGCCCAATGTATAACCCAGAATGTCACATAAATTATATATAAAGCTTATTTACATAACAACATTTTTTAACAAAGCAAAATGCTACTATTGTTCTATTTCCGCTAACCCATGCCTTTAGTGGAAGGAGGTGGCCCGACACAGTTGCTTAGAACCGAGCTGTATGGTTACGCTGCCTAAGTTTGAAACCCAACTCTAACATGTTATGCAACGTTGACACCACCTTAATACCTCTCTCTTCTTCAGGACAGAACTATTATATGAATATAATATAGAATCTATACCTTAAAGGACAACTTTGATAATTATCAAAGTTAATAGATGGGAAGGGTTTGAAACCAGAACTGGAAGTGGAGGATCAAGATGGTGACTTAATCAGATCCCGCCCCGCCCCCCGCACCACCACCAATTCTGTCCCTCTACAACAAAGATCGCCCAAATCAAATAAAACACATGCAGTTGACAATCGTGGAACCCAGGACATCAAATGAAAGGATAATAACTGGATTGAACGCCAACCAGAAAAAGAAGGTAATCAAAAAGAGAGCACGAGGAGAGACCCGGGGCAGAGGGGGCCCTTCTTAGGCCATCTTGTCATAGTGTCGGCAGCGAGCCTAGATGAGGAGCCTAAGGAAACCAGCTTCACAAGATCCTAGTAGGAGACAGAGACACTGCGTAGACCTATCTGGAGTGCAGCAAGGCCAGCAAGATAGGAACAGAGCCAAAGAAAGGAACTTTCAGAGGGAGAGCGGCGCGCCCCCCACAGACAGCAGCAAAGAACCAGACCCAAGAGGCAGGCTGGGTGGCAGAACTAACCACCTGGGAAGACTAGGGACCCTCTCCTCCAAGCCACCTGAACAGAGGGTGTTCCTGGGCCTCCAGATGTCTGCTCAAGCATGCCCCTCACTGAAATGCAGGGACACGTGTTCCCACACTCCCTCCACTTGTGCGACCCCTGAACAAACTGACTCTGCCCACCAGTAAGGTGCAGAGCATTCCTGTGCTCCCAGACACCATCCCTAATTCAGCCAAGCCGTCCCAACCCATCCAGTGGTGGGGACATTCCCTGCCCCTTGGCTGCCCAACTCAAACTGAGGGGTCAAATACACCCTCTGCACCAGCTCTAAAATAAACACACACATACACAAATTGGGATAAAGTAAACAAATACACAATCAACAATAAAAATAGCACCCAAATGCCTTGGGAGGCAGACGACAACGCAAAATCATATTAAGAAACAGGACAAGATGCAAATAAACGAACAAATTAAAGAGGCAGAAAACCCCCTAGACCAGTGGTTCTCAATCTGTGGGTCGTGACCCCTTTGGGGGTCGAACGACCCTTTCACAGGGGTCGCCTGATTCATAACAGTAGCGAAAGTACAGTTATGAAGTAGCAATGAAAACAATTTTATGGTTGGGGGGGTCATTACAACACGAAGAACTGTATTAAAAGGGTCACGGCATTAGGAAGGTTGAGAACCACTGTCCTAGAGGAAGAAATGGTACAAGAGCTACCTGATAAAGAATTTAAAAGACATCTGTAAGATCCACAAAGAGATTACGGGACGATATACAAAATCATGAAAACCACATATGAACCCTAGAAATCAGGAAGGCAGTACAGGTACAAAAAAACAAATTATACAGAACTCATACAAAAAACAAACAAAACTAGAACTTTTGGATGAACAATAATGTATCAGAAATAGATAACTCAATAGTAGAGTATAACTACACTACTGAAAATCAGTAGAAGGACAATCTCTTGATGCTAATTAGTTTGAGGAGCAATCAAAATAGAAGAAAAATTAAGAGTTACGTGGGATACTTTCAAGAGGAAATAATGATACATATGACCAAGTGGGATTCATAACAGGAAAGTAAGGATGGTTCAGCCTTACAAAATCAGTCAACCCAATCCACCACATAAATGAAACCAAAAAGGCCTGACATAAATGGAGAACTATACCACACTCATGCGTGAGGAAGACATACATTGTGGAAATGCTAACACTACCCACACAGATCTGGAGATACAAACCCAACCCAAGTTCCAACTACATTCTTTAATGAGAAGGAAAAACTAATCATTAACTTTATCTGTAAAGGAAAGAGACTCCAGAGAACAGAGAATTACTGTAGAACAAGATAGGAGGCCTCACATAGCCCGATATCAAAACAGCCTGATACAAGTTCAACAGATACCTAAACCACTGGAATAGAATTGAGAACCCAGAAGTCAATCTACCTATGGACAGATGATTTTCAGCAAAGGGTTACACTCTATTAAATAAGGAACCGATTATCTCCTTAATAAGTTTATGATTGCCATTGCATAGATTCTGGGCTCACAGTAACCCGCTATGATAGAGTAGAATTGCCCCTCAGGTTTCCGACAGTGCACATCGTACAAGAGTAGAAAGCCTCATCTTTCTCTCATTCTTTAATAAATGGTCCTGGAAAAACTGGCTATACATTTGCAGAAAAATGAAATAGGATCCATACTCAAATCATAGGAAAAACAAGATGGATCAAGCATCTAAATATAAAACCTGAAACTAAGCTCATAGAAAAATGACAAACCTACAGGCCCTAATATATGTCATCACTAGACTGTAAAACATAACTAAAAATGCACAAGCAGCAGAAGACAAATGATATAAGTGGGGCCTCCTAAGACAGTGGTTCTCAACCTTCCTAATGCAACAACCCTTTAATACAGTTCCTCATGTTGTGGTGACCTCCCTTAAAATTATTTTTGTTGCTACTTCATCACTTAATTTTGCTACTGTTATGAATCAGCGACCTCTGTGAAAGGGTCGTTCGACCCCCAAAGGCATCACGACCCATAGGTTGAGAACTGCTGTCCTAAGATAATTACATCCTTTGCACATCAAAAGACTTCTCCAAAAGAGTAAAAAGTAAAAAAAGAGCCTATAGATAGGGAAAACTGGGGCGCTATAACATATATGACAAGAGACTAATTCTAAAATTTATAGAAAAATTCATCACTTCAACAATAAAAAAATAGCTCAATTAAAAAGTAGACAAAGGATATTCCCAAGGAAGTCATTAAGGCAGCTACAAATACACAAAGAAATGCTTCCAACCACTAGGCGTTGCAAAGATGCACATCAAAACCACAATGAAAGCCCATCATATCTTGGCAATTGCAACGCTGATTGATAAATAAATAAATAAATAAACCTGGAGAACGATAAATATTGGCAAGGTTGTAGGGAAGTAGGAACTCTCATATACTACGAGTGGAAATATAAAATGACACAGCCACTCTGGAAAATGGTATGGAAATAGCCTTGAAAAGGTAGAAATAGAAATACCATATTACCCAGGAATTCCATTCCTAGAAAAACAAAAGAGCTATGACATAAGCATTCCCATGATAACTGCAGTATTATTCAAATTAACAAAAATATGGAAACCACCTAAGTGTTCATCAACAGACAAATGGATGAACAAACTATGGTACACGCACACAATGGATTACTGCACAACATTGAGGAATAACAAAGATTCTGTGAAATAACTCATCACATGGATGACATGATGCTGAGTGACCTAAGTCAATCACAAAGAGACAATGCTTGTATGGGACCACTTGAGTCATGGACCAAACATTCTCACACAGTTACCAGGAAAGTGAGGGGAAGGAAAGGGAAATCCCTAGGCAGCTGATAGATGCCTGCTAAATTTGGTGGAGAGAAAGACAGTATGTAAAATGGAGGAAGTCAGCACAATACGACCAAAGCAAAGAGGAAGACGCTGAGAAGTATGCAAAAGTAAAAGACAACCACGATAAATACAATTATACAGTCCAGCAACAATAGTAACGGGGATACAACATGTTCATAAAATGGTTTGCAGAGGATAAATCCATACACATAGTTGTGTGTGTTGCAAATATAACAATGCATAAAAGAGTTTCAAAAAGTTCATGGGAAAATTCATTATTTTTTCAGATAGTTTATTGTGCCACCCTGGCCAATAAACGTGGGGTTAAATGAAGGGTGGAGGGATAAATGGCTCGGTGAGCCTCTCCCTTCCAGTTCTCGGGTCTCTTGCTTTGTGATGGTTGACCAGGGTGCAGCTGCCTTAGCCAGTTCCCTACTTCAGCTGACAGGGTTCATCTCCTGAAAGACATCCCCAAGGAAAAGCCACATGGACCTACCCCGATGCAGCACTGGGTGCTGGAGCAGCCATGTGGAGAACCCTGTCAGCGCGGAGATGCTTACACGTTCACTGATACAGCTTTCCTCCTGCAGTCGGCATCATTGCGTCTGTTTTGTGAGGTGGAGGAGGACTTTGTGGATTGGTGTTGGACATATGGGTTGATG